TGTCGTGAATCCTAGATCTGTATCTATAGCCCCACTTTCCTAGGAGAGGACATTGAAGAGGAAAATATAAAATGACTGTTGTTGAAGTTACAGGCCACATGTCTATAGCGACTTCAGCTCCATGCTAGTTATGTGAAATCTTCCAAAGTGGAAAGGAGAGTTGATTGGATCAATCCAATCTAAGATTTGAGATTTCAAGAGTGAAGGATGTAGAAGCTCTTGGTTGCTCCTGGTTCCCTGGAGGGATTTCCCTGGAGAGAAGACCTGTGGTTTCTCAAACAAGAAGGCCCTATAAAGAGTTTTCCCAAAGTGCAGGAGAGTAGATGCAAGCTGGTCTTAGGACACACCTCTTGACGGACTCGAAACTCAACTAAAAGACTAGATCCACTCATGACTGGAGCAAGCACAGGAGACTCATAAATACTAGGAAGGTACAGGTACCTCATCTTTCAAATGGAATTATGCAAATTATAGAATTTGAGGATTTTGAATTATTTTACTAATTATTTTACTAATTAGCTACTGAATCAGAATATTTTTTTCTAAATGAGGGCATTGATGATGACTAGATAAGGTGAAGTGAGAGGTAAGAGATAAAGTTGATATCCCAAATATGCATATTTCTCAATAAAAAAAAAAGTAGTTTCCTACACTTGATCTTAGCCAAAAGGCTGAGAAGCGATAAAGTAGTTTCCTTAAATAAATGGAGACCTACTTCCTTTAGGGAAACTCAATATTATAGAAATGGAAGCCCTCCCTAAGTTAATCTTTACATAGACTCTAAATCAGAATGCCAAGTGAATTTTTAAAAAACTAAATACAAATAATCATAAATCTTATTTGAAAAAACAGATGTGATAGAAAAATTAATACATCTCAAAAAAAAGAATATGGGGTTGGGGTTTATAATATAAATCAATCATTAAAACAGATACCACAGGAATAGACAGAACTGATAAAAAGCATAGATTTAAAAGTCTAAAATTAAACTTAAATACAAGTGATACTTTAATGAATAATAAAAGGAGCAGTTCCTTTCTTCTGGAATGATATCTTGGACATAGACTACATTACTTGGACCACCATTAGGTGATGTTGGGGGTACTGACAACAGGGTTTATCCCTTGTGTGGGGGTGGGCAGGCTTTCCTCTGGTGCTCACAGACTTTAAAACTGACTGTAGGAATCCTCTTCGGATGAGGAGAGGTTCAACAAAGCCTCCTTTACTTGGCATACTATCTAGTTCAGCCTAGGAAGGGAAAACTGTGGCCTGCATAAAGACCTTTGATGGAGTATCTAAATTCTTCCAGGTTGTTTCTTGCTAAGTTCTGCCTTGCCTGCCCACAACAGCAGCTTGTGATATAATATCTGGTGGTTGTCTAAGAGAGATGCTGTAATATCTGGGAGGTTGTCCAAGAATGGGGTAAAGATACAGTTGCCAATGGAAAGCAAGGAAGACATGAACAGTAATATCTTCCATATCTCTCCACCATCTAACCCTTTTTCACTAACCTCAATACTTCTACCATATTCCAATCACCATTCTATCCCACTTTCATTATTACAGCAGCCCCTGAACTGGCCACCGTGCTTCTGCCCTCCACCCCTACGGTCTGTTTTCAAAACTTTAATACAACATACTATAGAAATCACATCAATCTTTGGTATCTAGTTTTACTTTTTTCAAAGAGAACACATCCCTTTAATTTGCACCCAGATCAAGAAATGCATCTTCCTCAACACTCCAGATGCCCCTCTTTTTCCTCTGCTAATCACTCAGCCACACCCAAACTTCTAATATCATAAATATTGGCTTTAAATTTTATGTGAATGAAGTCATGCAGTGTGCATGCATTGTTCAACATTGCTAGATGATTTGTGAGAATCATCCATGTTGATACAACAGTCCTTTCTTTCTCATTCTATCCCTAGGTATAAAAACAAAAGAAATATGTACCTATACCCTGCACAACAAAAATGTTCAAATTATAAACAATCCAAATGTCTACTAGCAGTAGACTCTACACTACTGAACATACTTCTTCAAAGTGTAGTGTTTTTCTTTACCATTTTGCCTAGATCTTTCTGCATCCAACCTCTCATGCCTATTCTATCTAGATCAACTTTAACCTGCATCCAGGGGAACTCATGCTAACAGCTTAGTATGTACCTTTCCATATTTCCTCCTGACATAATCAGAGACACATATACATACATATATATGTGTGTGTGCATATTCTCTGTATATATGTATATATATCTATACACATATATCTGTGAGAGTTATTATAAAAAATGGGCTCACAATATACACTGTTCTACATCAAATATACACTGTTTCTACATCTTTTTCATATCATCATATTAGAACCAGGATTCATATATTTTAGAAACAATACAAAAATTAGGTTAGATTTATTGAAACTATTTTGGTATTAGTAGATCATATCACCTAAAATGAAGAAATGGTCTACTCATTTTAGTAAACAGTTATTACCATGCCAAGTATGTCACTAAGCCCTGATGTTCTGTGTTCAGTTTTGGACTGAATAAAGGATAAACTGAACCTCAAAGGAGAGAAACAAGGGTATCTCTAGTAAGAGAACTAAAATACATGAACGAGGGGCAAGATATAAGGATGTAGAAGAACGATGTCATTGATCTTCAAGGCTTACTGTGTGGGGATATTATACTTGTTTTATTTGAACACAAAAGGCAGAATGGAACAAACGGTAGGAGTTATGGAGCACAGAGTTAAACTCGGAATAATAAATAACCTTCTAACAGAAAATTTCAGAGACAGAATGGAATATCTTTGGATCCAGATAGATCCTTGGTTACGTACATGTGGAAATACAAGGCATACGTGGGTCATTCCACCTAAGTTGCTTTAAGGTCCCTTTCAACTTGAAAAGGTACAACTCATGTTTATTTTATTTCAGCTTTTCATTTTCCTTAACAAATTTATTATTATGACCTATATTTTAATGGAAGATGATTGAATGTGAAAACTTAAACCAAGAAGAAATAATCAAAGAACTGGTGAGTCAAAGCCAAATTTCTTTTCAACTACTTTTATAAGACAATTAAATGGAACATTTTTATATTCCTTTCTGAAGTTTACCTAGAAATTTCTTCTACCCAATGACTTTTGGGAGTACATGGTACAACTTTGCCTCATGCAACTGATAATTGATAATTTTTAATAACAAAAATAATATTTTGATTATTTTAAATGAATAATAACCCAATTTCTTTTTGAAAACAGTGTTTATGCAATGGTTTATCATATGAGATGATTGGACCAGAAGGATCAGATACTTCAAAACTAGAGATGTTTTTCTCAGGGTATCCCTGTATAGTTGGATTATCATTATTTCCTAATTTAACAAGTCTCACAATTGTTGCTCAAGATATAAAAGAAATTTCAGGGTTGGAGACTTGTTCACAACTTAAAGAACTCTGGATTGCCGAATGCTGCTTAGAGGTAAGTCTAAACATGCAATCTTTTTTTTTTTAAAGATTTATTTATTTATTTATACAAGAACTGGGGTACAGGTCACAGGCGTGGGGGGCGAGAGAATTCACCAGAGACAGAGTGGGGAGTAGGACAGGCAGAACGACGGAAAACACTGCTGAGGGGAGCAGCGGGCGAGACAGGAGAGGACTGCCGTGCCATGTGGATTTCTCCCCGGCTGGCAGGGAATCGAACCTGCACTGCAGAGGCTGCGGACAGCTTCACAGCGCTGTGCTCAACCCGCTGCACCACCAGGGAGGCTCTAAACATGCAATCTTACATCAAGTATTTTATTGCTGAAGAAAAATAGATATATACTACTTTTTAGTAATCAAGTCAGTGCAAATAAAACCAGTATTGCTTAATAATGAAACTGGTTCACTTAACACTTCTGGTTGTGTGAAACTTATAATGCTTACATTGAAAAGCAATATTGTAAAATATACTTTAGAGGCAAAGAAATTTACATGATTTTTGACTCAGAAACCCCTATTCTAAGATTTTATCTTAAGAATTAATTCAACAGCAGAAAACAACTGTATGAATGAAGTTATTTGTTGCTGTATTATTTATGATAGCTAAAATTTTGAAACACAAATATGCTAAATAGGGTTGTTTTTAAGAAAATCATTGTAAACTTCATGAAATATTTTATAATAAAATGTTATAACTTCAGAGATTATGAAAGCATTTTAGATGAAAGTAAGTAAAAAACCCACAAAACTGTATAGGTATTATGATTATTACCCTATAGAAATAGGTATGATGATTAAAATTTAAGAGAATATGAAAATTAAAAATAGTTGTATTTAGGTAGATAGATTTTTGTTTTTCTTTAAAAAATTTAGTTCATTTTGGGGATAGTGACTTTACAATAAAATGTGATTTTTTAAAAAGAAATTGTACTTAAAATCTACATTATTAAAAGGATTAATGGCAAAATATAAGCTAACACTATCCAGTCTCTCTCTTTTTCTTTTTTACAGGAAATTGGAGGTCTTCAAGAATGTAGAAATTTAGAAAAATTGTATTTATATTATAATAAAATTTCCAGAATAGAAAATTTAGAAAAATTATTAAGATTGGAGGTTCTTTGGCTAAACCACAATGTAATTAAAAATATTGAGGTAAGATAATTTCACTAATTTATATGTAAAGTCAGTTATTTCTGAGGAATTTAAACCATAACATCCAACATCATATTACAGTTAAAGGACCAAAATATTCATGACTAGTTTAATTACCATTGGTAAAATCAGCTAACATATATGTAGCATTCTGTATTGTATGGAGAACATTGTATACATCATTTTTTTTACTCTTTCCACCAAATCTGAAAGGCAAGGTGTTATTTTTTTCTTTGAAGGTGAAGAAAAGAGATTTAGAGAAGTTACATACGCACACACACACACACACACACACACACACGACAAACTTTACCTAAGATTATAAACGCACTCTGTGTGGTATCTTTTTTCCCTTACCCCTCCTCCTGTTTTTCTCTCCGCTCCACTCCATTTCCTTCCTCCAATGATTCTCTCTAGGTTCCAGTATAGAGAAACAAAGGTGACTTCATGAGGGCACCCACTTCTTTGCTTGTTCAGTGCACAAATTCCAGTGTTCAGAACACCTGGAGAATTAACTAGATGTTTGAGAAATATAGATTGTAATTTTTTTTCTAAATTATATGTTATCTAAATTTTTAGGGCTTGCACACTTTGAAGAATTTAAATGATCTCAACCTTGCTGGAAATCTAATAAGCAGCATTGGTATGTATTCTTTTGCTTTGAGTCTGAGATAATGCTACAATATTTTTTTTATCAGTATATAGAGTACACTCTTAGATTTCTTTCAGACTTTTTTAAATATATCTTTGCAAAGCATTTCTAAATCAATCACTACAGGACAGGAAAATATAACTCATTTATCAGTAATTACTAGTTAGACAGTGTGACTGTTAGTCTTTTTTAATATTTATTTATTTATGCATACAAGAGCTGGGGTACAGGCTAGAGATGTGAGAGGGTGACAGGATTCACAAGAGACAGAGTGGGGAACAGAACAGGCAGATTAACTGAAGTACACTGCTGAGGGGAGCAGTGGGCGAGTCAGGAGAGGTCTGCTGTGCCATGTGGGTTGCGCCCTGGCCAGCCGGGGATCGAACTAGTGCTGCAGAGGCTGTGAATTGCTTCATAGTGTAGTGTTTAACCCCTTGCACCACCAGGGAGGCTCCCTGTTAGTCTTTTTATATGCAAGAAATGATGACAATATGCAACTCAGAAATACAAGATATGAACAGGAGATATAGCCAGAAATTTAATTTTTCTTCCATCTTGTTTTTTAAATTGAAGGTCGGTGCCTTGATCCCAATGAACAGCTAGAAAGATTAAACCTTTCTGGTAACCAGATATGTTCTTTCAAGGTATGTTTAAGTGGAACAATTCATTATTTATCAACTCAGATCATGAACTATCTTTTTGCAGAAAATGGACTTCAGCACCTTCAAGAAATAATTATGTGGGCTAGCCAAATCTCCTAGAAATTTTAGAGTCAGCTGACTAAATTGGCTCTGATGCTGTAATAATTGATCTGACACTGTAAAAAATCAAACAAGTATTACTTGGCTTTCAAGTTTTCTGGTTTTTAATTTTAATTTTCTGTTTTTTCATCTTCTCCTAGCATCCAGGAAAATGGACCTCCCCAGAAAAGGGCTGGAATCTTTCAATAATCTCATCATGCCTTATGATTTTAACAATCTCTTTTTTTTTTAACTCTTTTTTCTTTACAACTCTCCAGAACTGTGGGCATATTCCATCCTAACTCAAAATGAGTTAAGATACACACACACACACACACACACACACACTCTCTCTCTCTCTCTCTCTCACACACACACACACACACACACATTAACCTAAGATTATAAACACATTCCCTTCCTCCTCCTCCTGTTTTTCTCTCAACTTGACTCCATTTACTTCCTCCAATAATTCTTTCCACATTCCAATATAGAGAAACAAAGATGCCTTCATGGAGGCAATAACTTCCCCTGCAGACTTCTCCACCCCTCTAAATGGCATCTCCATTCTTCAATTAACTTTAGCCAAAATCTTTGAGAGTTCATTTTAAGGCTCCTCTTAGTCCTTCATACCCCAAACTCAGTCCACCAGCAAATTCTTTAAGCTGCACTTTCAGAACATGTCCAGAGTCTGACCGTTTCTTACCACTTGTATCACTCTGCTAACCTGGTTCAAAATACCAGCATCTCTAAACTGCATTATTGAAAAGGCTTCAAATAGATCACCCTGTGTTTACCATTTTACTACTAACAATGTGTTTTTTTTTTTTTAGAAGCTTTTTTTTTATTTTTTATTTTTTTAAAGATTTATTTATTTATTCATACAAGCACTGGGTACAGTCAGAAGCACGGGAGGGCTAGAGAATTCACCAGAGCCAGAGCGGGGAACAGAACAGGCAGAAGGACCGAAGTACACTGCTGAGAGGAGCAGCGGGCGGCAGGAGAGGTCTGCGCGCCATGTGGGACCCTCACCCAGTGGCCGGGGATTGAACCGGCGCTGCAGAGGCTGCAGGCAACTTCGCAACCCAGCGCTCAACCACTGCGCCACCGGGGGAGGCCCTAACTAACAATGTGTTTTGCACACATCAACCTGCTCCTTTAAATGTGTGTGTGTATGAGAGAGAGAGAGGTAAAAAGAAACGGAATCCTGCTCTACTCCTGCCAGTTTAAGGTGCACTAAATCTTCAAGTCAAACTAACGACAGAAATGTTAAGCTTTGGTCCATTAAACACATCATAAAATTAATAAGAAGAAAACAAAATATTATTTGTGGAGAATATAATAAGCTAAGAATTAATATCCTCATTATTAAAAGAAGTCTTTTAAATCCATTGGGAAAAGTAATTTAAGATACCCATGGAAAAAGGGACAAATGAATAGGTCAATTCATAGAATTGAACTCTACTTGCCCATTAATTTATAAAGGAATTTCCAGCCTCATGAGAATGAATAAAATGCAAATTAATACAACATAACATTTACCTGATTATATTTTAAATATTCATGATTTTTATAAACATAGTATTCTGTACTAACAAAATTGGGGTAAGATGGACATTTAAAAGTTTAAATTGACAGAGATTTTCTAGAAAACATTTAGAAGTATGTACAAAGTCCTTTTAAAAGATATCTACTCTTTGACCTATCAAATAAATTGCATTCCAAGGAATCCATTCCAAGAAAATAATGTGAAATGTGGTCAGGGCTTTATGTTTAAATGTGCTAGAATTGCAAAGAGATCATCAGGACCTTTGAGAGATAAATTTAGAGTACTGTGGGAACATGCAGAAGGGCAGCCTAGCCTTGTTTGGGAGGTGCAGATAAGACATCCGTGAGGAGGTAACTTGTAAACTAAACTGTGAGACACGTAGGGGTTGATTTGGGAAAGACTATTGCAGGCAAATGTGAGAAGGACCTAAGTGGTGAAGGAAACAAGTCAAATTCAAAAAATTAGAAATCCTGTGTGACTGGAATAGTCCAACGGAGAGAATCATGACTTGAAGCTGAAGAAGTAAGTGCAGAATGCTAGAAGGATAAAGGATTTCCCTGCCAAGAAGCCATGCAGAAGTTTATCTTACTCTGGTCAGCATTGGTTAAGAGAACAGGTTGCTGAGCAGAAAGATCTGTCAATTCTAGCACCCCCACAAAACAGGGACAGTATCACATGGTGGTTAACATGAAATTTAAGTGAAATGATCATGTAAACCCTTAAAATAATGTCTAGCAGTCAGTAAGCACTCAACAGATATGCTAGCATTCTCTTCTATTTTAATCTCATGCCAAAATGATGATAAAGCAGAATTATTGTAGAAATAATTGTTTGGCATAGTATTCAAAAAAGGTCTCTAATCTATATCTTAAACTGGCTATTTCTCATTAAAACATTGAACATTCTTCACAGGAACTTCTACTATTCTCATAAGAATGTTCATGAAACACTGTTATCCTGGATTTTTATTTCAAGCCTTTTCTCACATTCTAAAATCATGTTATCCTGGTGGTGATGAGTAACTTATGTGCTGCGCTTCATTCACTCCAGGCACCACAACATTAATTTTGAGTAAGATTGTGTGCCTTCACAGATTCCAATGTCATCTGAATTTGAATGTAAATGGGGGTTCCTGTGTAAAACTTCTAAGTTCACATCCACTGTCTCCTAGTCCAAACTATGATCAAATACAACACAGCCACACAGAAACACCCAGCATGACTTTACTGTTTAGAAGCGTGGTTTACCTTCCTCACCTCTGCAGAATTTGACAAAATAATTCTCTGCAATCTCTGCCCAGGAATTCTCTTTCAGAACAAGTCTGCTTAGTACCACTCCTGCCACGGGCCCATCCCTAGTGTCAGTCAAAGCCAGTGACCCAAGTTCTCACTTGTCCAAAGAGAGTTTGAGCACACAAAGGCCACCTGGCCCTGTTTTACTTTTGACTCTTGTAAACTGACTTCACTGCTCACTTACTATTCCATTTGTACTTTTTCTTCAGAAAAAGTTAGTTCTTTTTCTTTTTGTTCTTTTTCTTCAGAAATTATGCCTCCTAGTTCTTCCTATAGATTTTCCTTAACTCTGTTTTAGATATCCTCATGGCATTGCATCCTTTCTAGTCCAACTCCACCCTAATACCCCCTTACTTCAGGCACTACCTACCAGAACTGTTCTACTCTTCCTCCCATTGAGGAAGTTGTGAGGACATCTTGGAGGTTGTTAGAAAATAATAATCATTCAGTTCAATTCACCCTTATTTAGTGCCTCTTGTGATGTAAATCTGAGTGCTAAGAATGCAATGTTAAACAGGATACAAACTCTGCTCTTGAGAACTGGCTTTTTTTTTTCTCTGTCTCTCTAAGAGGCCAAACAGAAAATATTTTAGGTTTGGTGGGCTACACATGACCTCTGTTGCAAATTCTTTATTATTTTTTTTTTAAAGATTTATTTGTTTATTTATTTATACAAGAACTGGGCACAGTCAGAAGCTGGGAAGGTGAGAGAATTCACCAGAGCCAGAGCGGGGAGCAGAGCCGGCAGAAGGACCGAAGTACACTGCTGAGGGGAGCAGCGGGTGGCAGGAGAGGTCCACGCGCCATGTGGGACCCTCCTCCGGTGGCCAGGGAGCAGCCTGGGATCGAACCGGCGCTGCAGAGGCTGCGGGCAGCCTCGCAACCCAGCGCTCAACCTCTGCGCCACCGGGGAGGCCCCTTTATTATTTTTTTTTTTACAATACTGAACAACATAATCACTGTTCTTAGTTTATAGAGGGAGGGCTGAAGCCCACATAAACTCCTGGCTTATAGACTCTGGATATATAAGCATTGACAACAAGTATGATAAATTCTACAACAAAAGCATGCCCATTTGCTAAGAGCTCATAGGAGGAGCATCTGTCTTAATCTTAGGGGATTAAATGAGGTTCCCAGAGAAGATAATGACTAGGTTGAGTCTCGAAAGATTAATAAGTAAATTTGGAACGAAATTCAATCCACTGCAAGGGAGCAGCATGAGTGAAGATAAGAGAGGGTCTAGGACATTCTGAAACTTGAATTTGTTTGG